GGCTGTCCGGCCTGCTGCCTGAGAACTACGTGAGAACAACCAGACAAAAAATAGATTTGATCAAAACATCAGAATTGAGCATAAAGACCTGCAGAGTGAACGTAGCCTCAGAGATGAGTAAGAACTGAATCATAAAACATTGAAGAACGTTTAAGGATGAGCTTTATTTGTCAGTTGCAGTTGCCTGCAGACCCAGTCGACCATACACACAATATACAGACTTACACTGGGGAGACAGGTCGGGCGAGGCAGCAAAGAAAGGGATCGACAGTGTAACATATAGGTCAGGAGAAAAAAAGGGTTCTGCCCATGATGACTTCCAACCAGTGAGCACAGATATCATCACACTGTAACGCCATGAAACAGACAAGCAACGTAAGGGCGGGGGACGCTGCGAGTCCTCGCGCCTCCAGCTGAGCCGCTGTCTCCATGGGGGAGGTAAGCATGGGAGGAGGCGTTGGAGGCAGGGAGTGTGGTGAGTGCACATCAGTATCAGTGTGTGTGCGTGTCGGGTGTGTGTTAAGTTCAGCCTGAGAAAGTGTCCTTCAGCCTGTTAGGCAAAGATCAACAGCCTACGCAGGCGACCTTGAGTCAGTTGGTTCTCGTATCTCCTGGAAGAATGTTGTTGTTCTCCTCGGCGTCAACCTTCAAGCAGCAGCAGGGAAAATAATGGGGAGGAGAGGGTGAAAGATGCGTCCGTCTCCTCCGAGAGCCAGAAGAGAAATCTTTGTACAAACTCTTTACGATTGAAGACATTTCTGGTAAATACGAATATCTGAAATAGGGAGGAGGGACAATAAGACACAAGTGAACGGAGTCAAGGCAAATACAACGGTGGGAAAACATCAAAGGAGGAAGTTAAAAAAGGAAATTAATAAACACAGGAAGCCACAAAAGAAGCTTTCAAAACAAGAGGAAATAGCGAAACATCCACACACGTGAGAGTGAACTTTACAAAAAAGCGAACTACACAAATGTGTAGCACTCTGAGGCTACGTTCACTCTGCAGGTCTTGATACCCGTTTCTTCTTTCAAGGTTTGATGTGAAAGTAAACGTACGACATGTCGCAGCAGCACGATGTGAGACGTTTCCATGTCACACCCAGGCTGTTTTCACACGTGGACGACCCGTTCTTGGACGACCCGCTGCCGAGAGAGTACGTCCTCTACCTGCGACCCAGCGGGCCCCTTCAGAACC